CTGTGTCCTTCTTTTCTGTGCATTCGTGCCTTCTGAGCTATCTCCCTGTGTAAATGCTGCCCTGCTGATCTCCCATGGTTGATTGTTCTAAGGAGTGTACCTACCTGGTGTAATTGTTCACCTTGTAGGCCTATCTACCATTTGGCTGGAAGCTACGGGAGTGAGTTCAGTTCCAGGCCCAAAGGATGATTAGGGGCCCCAGTTTGGGGGGTTTTACCAGTCTCTATCAGACCGATAAGTCTTTTTTATGATTTTGACTTGTTCCACATTTTTCTCCCACTCTATCCAGGATCTCCTATTCTGATCCCTTTCCGGTGGTTGACAGTGGTAGCTGGGCGTCATCTAGTTCTTCTGGTCTCAGGGTCATGTAGGCTGAGGTTTGCATGGTCCACTAGTCCCTTGGACTAATTGTTTCCATATGTCTTCGATTTTCTTCATTCTTCTTTGCTCTGAACAAAGAGAGACCAATTGTTGCATCTTAGATGGCCACTTGCAAGCTTTTAAGACCCCAAAGTTGCTACTCACCAAAGTAGGACGTAGAATAATGTTTTTGTGTAGTATATTATGCCAGTTGAGCTTGATGTTCTTTGTGAATATGGTCTCAAGCCTACGGGCCCAGTGATTCACTCCCTCAAGGTGTTTGGCTGTGGCTAAGCTTTGGTGGCATAGTGCCTAAGGCACTTGACTGCTAACCAGAAGGCTGGTGATTCAAACCCACCAGCCACTCCTCGGAAAGAAGGTTGGGCAATCTACTCCTGTAGTGATACCACCTTGGGAACCCAAGGAGGGGTTGCTGTGAGTCAGATACGACTCGATGTCAATGAATTTGGAGTGTTTTTTTTTTTTTTTTTAAAGAAGTTATCATAACTTTGACCCATTAGCTCTATTATATATATGGACATTCTTATAGCACGTACAAATATGTATGTAGAACTATCATCTGCCAAACATATATGAGGATGGGTATTTTCCCTTTTTCCTACTCATACCTGATAATTTAGCCTGTGAAACTATAGATCAATGTTTGTTATTACTGATAATGCAGTATTGTAGATGTAAAAATGTTTACCTTTTTTGTCTGTACCTCTTGTGCACCTCTCTGTATTTCTTTTCGTTGGTGTTATTGTGCTAGTCACTTGCTTTGGTATATTGCCTTTTTCTTCATTCAAATCAATATGTATCTCTTACCTATCTAGCAATTTTCCCCCTCCTCCTCACCCATCCCTGTAACTAACAACAGAAATTTCCTTCCATATGTAGACCTTTTCTTGACTAGGGGACTCATACGATATTTGTACTTCTGTGATTGACTTATTTCATTCAGCATAATGTCCCTCAAGTTCATCCACATTATGAAGTGTTTCACAGATGCTTCATTATTCTTTAGTGTTCATTGTATTCCATTGCATAGTTTGGTTATTCATCTGTTGATGCACACCTAGGTGGTTTCCATCTCTTCGCTATTGTGAATAGTGCTGTGATGAATGTGGGTGTGCATATGTGTTTTTGTGTCCTGGTTCTCACTTCTTTAGGATATATACCTAATAATGGGATTGCTGGACCAAGTGGTATTTTTATTTCCAACTTTTAAGAAAGCATCATACCATTTTCCACCATGGTTGTACCATTTTACATTCTCACCAGCAGTGCTAATACTGACTTCCTTGAAAATGTACCTACCTTACCTTTAGAACTACTCCTAGGCTGACCATCTTGCTCTTGCTATAAGCTCTGTTGAGTTTTGTTTTAGCTCTGGATTAGGGCTCCACCAAACCAGGGGCCCCAAGAATGAAGCTCCAAGTGTTTGTTTTATTATTTGCTGTATTATTTTTCCAGGACTGCTGTAACAAATTGCCACAAATTTGGCATCTTAAAACAATAGAATTTTACTCTCTAACAATTCTGCAGACCAGAAGTCCAAAAGCAAGGTGCTAACAGGGTTGGTTCCCTCTGGAGGCCCTGAGGAAGAATCTGTCCCATGCCTCACTCCTAACTTCTGGTAGCTTCTGGCCACCCTTGGTGCTCCTTGGCTTGTGACTACCTAACTTTAATCTCTGTCGTTGTCTTCACATGACTTTCTTCTCTCTGTGTCTTGGTGTCTTCTCCTTTTCTGTTTCTTAAGGACACTCATCATTGGATTTAGAGTTCACAGCTCTGGTAGCATAGTGGCTAAGTCATTTGACTGCTAACCAGAAGGCTGGCAGTTCAAACCCACCAGCCACTCCTCGGAAGGAAGATGGGGCAATCTACTCCTGTAGTGATACTGCCTCAGAAACCCAAGGAGGGGTCGCTATGAGTCAGGTCCGACTCGATGGCACATAACAACAACAACAACAACCTAAACCAGCATGATCTTATCTCTTAATCCATACCTTAATCATATCAGCAAAGACTCTTCCTCCAAATAAGATCACATTCTGACATACTGGGTGGGCATATCTTTTGGGGGCCCAATTCAACCCACTATATTTGCTGTTGTTGTTATGCACATCAAGTCGTCTCTGACTCATAGAGACCCCTCGGGTTTCCAAGGAAGTATCACTACGGATGTAGATTGCCCCATCTTCCTTCTGAGGAGTGGCTGGTGGGTTTGAACCACCAACCTTCTGGTTAGCAGTCAAGTGCCTTAGGCATTATACCACCAGAGCTCCCACTGTATTTACTAGTTAAGAAAATTTAGTAATGTCCTAGGAGAAGGTAGAACTATATTGGGTTTCCTTACTTCCGTTTCATAGTTCATATGTTGTTTTTGATTTCAACTATAGCGGAGGGTGAGGGCAGGAAAAAGGATTCCTTCTGTGATCTTTTCAGAACTTGGTACCTCCAGGTCTTGTCCCAGTCCTGCCTCTCATCTTTTCCCTGGGAACCATTCAGGAATGAAACATGGTCCAGGGCTCCTGTTTAATGGTGGCCACAATCCACAACTTTCCATGGTTCCCAAGCTTCACAAAATTTAACCAACTTTCTTCTCTGAGTAGAAGAATAATTCCTGTGTGCTGCTGCATGGAAACTTCTCTGAGTTCATTCTTCCAAATCATTTAGAATAGTTTGTTGAATTAGTGGCAAGATGAGGACAGTGGTAACTGTTTCCGTAAGAGCCAGACTTCTTTAAACTTTGATGATTGGAAGATAATTATTTATAAGATTCTTGACAGAGTTCATGCTGGGAGGCAGCAAGTAGATTGCAGAGAGAACTATGTGGGAATTGGGGCACAATTTGAGTTTCAGTCCTGGCTGGACTGCTAATCTGCTGAGTGTGAATGTAAGCAAGTCCCTTAATCTTCTCAGATGGTGTTTCTTTTGTTTGTAAATGAGGAGTTTGGGCCAAGTGATCCCTACATACTCCCTTCTGACTCAGTGCTACCCTGAGTCTTTCATTCTGTTTCCGACTTTTGTGCTTTATGAGAGGAAGAAGAAAACGTATGTTGTGGACCAAGTGTGGTGAGAAATACCTTATAAACAATATTGTATAGGCCAAAGCATTAATTCTACCACAGTTACCATTTACATTAACACATGATTTATATTAATCTGAGGGTATTCACACCAGCTACCAATTACTGAGGGTGTACTACATGCCAAGCACTAGGTTTAGCACTTTAAATGAAATATCTGGCTTAATTCTCATGAAACACTGAAAAGAATTGCCATTACATTTCTATTTACAGGTGAACAACCTGAGGTTTAGAAGATTTAAGTAACTTGCCCCAAGTTATAGAGCTAATACATCTGATTCTAGACCTTGCTCATAACCATTATATTTGGGAAAGAGCCAGGTGGTGAAAGGTCAAACTGTCTGACTTCAGATTCTGACTCTGCCACTGTGAACTTTGGGCAAGTTACTGACCTGCCTCCATTCTGTTTTATTTGTTTGTTTGTTTGTTTTTGAGAATGTACACAGCAGAACCAATGCAACAATTTCTACGTGTACAGTTCACTGACACTAATTACGTTCTGCACGTTGTGCAACCATTCTCACTCTCCTTTTCCAAATTGTTCCTCTGCCATTAACATAGACTCACTGCCCCTAAGTTAGCATCTAAACTTTCAAGATGCTGTTACCAACTTGATCCCATACAGTTTTTAAAAGAGCACATGTTTGAAGCAGACATTCTTCACTAGTTAAGCTAAACTGTTTGATTTAAAGAAAACTTCAGGGGATATTTTTGGTTTAAGGTTTAAAGATTATCTCAGGGTAATAATTTCAGGGGTTCATCTAACTCCCTTGGCTCCAGAAAGTCTGGATTCTATGAGATTTTGAAATTCTGTTTTGAATTTTCCCCCTTTTGATTAGAATTATTCTATAGAATCTTTGATGAAATGGTCAATAATGGTGGGTGAAGCATAGTAAGGGGGTGCAGAGAGGGGCCCTTGCCCCCAGGCATGAGTCCAAAGGGACAACAGACAAGTTATTGAATGAAATCCCGAGTGTAACTCTCCCTAAGAGTGAGGAGGGCATTTCTGCTGACATATCACCACGTCTATTCATCTTGAAATTGGTGGGGGTGCACAATTTAGAGATTTCCTCTGGGTGCTCGTTACCCTCGTTCTGCCCCTGATGGTAGCATCCATTTCTTCTCATTTTATGGCAAATGAACCTGCCTCAGTTTTTTCATCTGTAAAATGGGACTAATAGTAGTATCTCCCTTATAGGGTTGCTATGAGGATTAAATGAGCTAGGCAATGTGCTTGGAAGAGTTCTAGCTGCTATTATTGTTGTTATCCTATTCTGCATAAGCTGTGGAGGGAAGAACATGCCAGACAGAAGTAACAGCTTGTACAAAGATCTGAGACAGCATGGACTTCTTCAGCAAAGATGGAGAGTCTGGTGTGGTTGGAACACAGACTTTAAGTGAGGGAAGAGCCTAGGCAAATATGCTGGAGGTAGTCTGTGAAAGACCGTGGGAGCCAGGCCCCTCATCTGGATGGTATGTGCTGGGGGTCATGGGAAGCCCTAAAAGGGGAAGGTGTGTTGACATGCCTCTGTACTTCATTATCTCTCAGGAGTGCTTGGAGGATGCGACATCCTCATCATCTATGGTCCAGATGCCGCAGATTGGTGTCAGTACCTCCAGGAACTCTTCTTGTCAAGTCGGCAGGTCCGCACCCAGAAGATGCTGACTCACAGACTGAGCCCCGGGGCTTCTTTCTCCGCCCAGGACTTGAGCCTCTTCCTTAGTGCCCGCTGCATCGTGGTGCTGCTGTCTGCAGAGCTGGTGCAGTACTTCTACCAGCCAGCCGCACTGCCCCTGCTGCAGCGAGCCTTCCAGCCCCCCCACCGCATGGTGAGGCTGCTCTGCGGGGTGCAGGACAGCGACGAGTTCCTGGACTTCTTTCCCGACTGGGCCCACTGGCAGGAGCTCACTTGTGATGATGAGCCTGAGATTTACGTGGCAGCCGTGAAGAAGGCCGTTTCTGAAGGTAAGGGTCTCACTGGACTGCTGGAGAGGAAGATGATACTGTCCTTTGGGTTGTGTGCTAGGGCAAAAGCCTTCTTTCCAGAATTGTCTACATCATGGAAAGACATAGGAACAATGAAATCCCTTTCCCCCCTTTTTTTTTGGCAGAAGTTAAAAAGAGAGTAGTGCAGTTGGGAGGCTCTGAGTTGGGTTGCTGGGGTTGTGAGGAGCAAGACTGCCAAGCCTTCTGCTTGCGTACTCCTTCCATTGCATCAGCACTTGACCTTAACATTTTTGTTGAAAAGGCATCACTTTTGGGTAATATGTGTGTTCTGGTTACCTAGTGGTGTTCTGATAGGAATATACCACAAATGGGATGGCCTTAACAAACAGGTTATTCTCTTACAGTTCAGGAGGCTGTAAGTCCAAGTTCAAAGTGCCAGGCTCTAGGGGCTGTGTGAAAGCCCCTCGACCTTGGGCTTCAGCTCTGCCTCTTGCTCCTGGCCCACTGAAGCTGGAGGCATCTCTTCACTCAGACAGCTGCTGGCTGCTGAGGCTGCCAAGCCCAAGGCTGACAAATAAAAAGGCACAGTCCCAATGTGACTAAACTACACGGCAGGCCATTAATTCAAGTCCATTGTAAGTCCCAGGTCGGCAGAGCATGGCAGGCTGCTGAACAACAATACAGCTACATGCAGGGTCCAAGTGTGCCATAAGCTAGAGACTATCCCTCAAGGCTTCTCCTTATATACAGGAAGCAGACCACATCCCAAAGGCAGCTACTCAGCTGCTTGTGGTAAATCCCACCATGGACTTGATTGCCAGTCTCATCATGGGGAATAACTACCACCAGCTGTCCAGTCACTCAACCAGGCCCAGCCAAGTTGACATACAAATTTAACTACCACAATGTGTATTAGTTCCCTAGGGCTGCTGTAACAAAGTACCACAAACTCGCTGACTTAAAACAACAGAAATGTATTCTCTCACACTTCTGGAGGCCAGAAGTACAAATCACTGTCTCAATAGGGACATGCTTTTTCTGAAGTCTCTAGCTGAAGAATCTTTCCTTGCCTCTTCCAGCTTCTAGAGGTTGCTGGCAGTCCTTGGTGTCTCTGACTTGTAGATTCATCACTCCAATTTTTACCTCTTTCTTTACGTGGCCTTCTCCCCTGTATTTCTGTGTCTTCTCTTCTTATAAGGATGCTAGTCACATTGATTTAGGACCTAATCCACTGTGACATCACCTTAGCTAATTACATCCACAAAGACCCTATTTCCAGATAAGGTTGCATTCTGATTCTGGGAAGGACATCAGTTTTCGAGGGATATTATTCAACCTAGTGTAATATGTTAATACGGAAACACCCCCTTCTCTACTTCCCACCAGCCTCGCTTCCGTCTTTTGCCTTGTTTCTCCTTTTAAAATGGGAAAATTCTGATCCTTTCTGCCAGGGCGGATGACTTCAGTGGCCTCAGGAAGTGTGATGTTCACCATGATTAACAGTAATGGAAGACATGTTTTGTGATGGATGCATGTTATTGCTTTTCTTCCTCTTTTTGTTTCCTATTTTTGCCTCACTGTGGGCTGAGTAAGCTATGCTTTTATTTTCTTGCATCTGAGATCTTGTATACCTGATGTCAACACAGAAGCCTGGAAAATTATGAGCTCCATGTGTTGTTGTTGTTGTTGTTATGTGC